TTTTATCTAAAATATTCTTTCCTCTAGTAGCGTCTTTGACTAACTGCTTGAGGTTAAAGGAACTGCATAACTGGCGATGTTTAAATTGGTTAAAATCTTCGGCCAAAATAATTCCTGCACCGGGATTGGTGGAAAGGACAGAATCAATTGATTCGGTAAAGTGTGAAAGAAGGGCTTTATCGTCACTTCCAGGTGGATGGTACACGATTCCCAACACAATTGAATTTAAATCACGAGGCAAGCGGTGAGGTTTTAAGAGTAACCAAAGCGACTCATATTCGTGACTTTCAATCTCGTTAAGATGAATGAAAGGAAGCATGTTCTTTACAAAGACACAGACTCGTCTGCCGTCAGAACAATCATGCCTCAGTAAGGAATAACCGCATAAATCTATTGCTGAATTGGGAAGATTTGAAGAAAGCCACGTTTCGGTAACAACGACAATGTCTGATGTATAGGATTTTACTGTAGCAGACAGTTCGTCAACTACGTCTACATCCTGTATCATATATTGAATGAACAAGGTTGTGCTGCCCACTATCAACCAGTTGTCAACAAAACGTGCAACAACATTGTTGACAACTTGTTCATAGTGGGCAACACAACCTCCCTGTCGATATCAACTGAAGTTGTTGATTTTACGCCTGTACACATATTATATAGACGTCAGCGGTAAAACTATGGCAACAACATTCCAAAAGTGGTATTTGTAATTGATGTTTCTGTACCCTTGGTTTTGAAAGGCATTTAAGAGTGTTTAGATATTTAGAAGTGTGACCCTATCGCCCAATTTCACAATCAGCGAGGCGGCGAATGCTCTCACATGTTTCCGAAGCAAAGTGCTAAATTTAAACCAAGAAGTATAGTGCCCTACATGCATGGCGGTTTATAATCAATGGCAATGTTTGGAATGGTTGAAAATCAATGGCAGTGGCAATATAATCTCTATAACAGATTGCTGCCAATCCTGCCACATACTTATGGCTGTCTTATAGTTTGTGGGAATTGACAGTGTAGGTATCAGGTATGTAAACACTGATTTCGATTATAAGACCTCGATACATTTTGTCGATCTGTATTAAGTATGTATAACAACTACACACCTCAGTAATAGTCTATAGGACCTGTATATGAGTTGTATGCATTTCATTTAGGACAGATAATCTCAACTGTTTTAGGGCAAGTTGACCATGACGGTCGACATGGTAACTCTGCCCGAACCCCAATCCGGGGCGAGACGTCCGAAACTGACCACACCCAAAAACGACGCTTTCGCCATACTGCTATCTACCAAACCATAAAAGCTTTGGCTATTCTGAGGTGCTTATATGGTTCAGAGATGGTACTTTTGGGGGTGATCATTGGTAAGTGTGAAATGCCTAGCACTGATATTTCACAAGAAAATGACCATGCAATACTCATAGTCAAACGTCAATTTGTGACTTACAAATTCAGATAAACAGCAGTGGACCTACATTACCTTTTTTCCTAAATCTTTTTTATAGAAACATAATTGGTACTTATGTATATTATCACTGCTTTCAAAGCAAAGGCACGCTGTAATAGCAGCTGCAGTATGGTAAGACCAACAATCAACATTTAATTTATAGCATGACATGTTCATATAATATGCATTTATTTGTCGCTACAGGAAATAAAACAAACGTAGGTATGATTGTATTTAGCTTTTAGTCTATTTCACGCAGCCTTCTTCTATCTTCGTGAAATAATTCACCCCCCCCTGTCACGTCCCTGTTACTTTGTCACGCGAGATTTGTACGGAATGTTTTGAAAGACTCGTGAGCAACATTTTACAGGGTGATAAAATGCTGCATTTCTTATATTTTGTTTAGATTTTTTAGTTTCCTACCCTTACAAAGGGTTAAATTTGTTATTAGTGCAGTGGAAATGGCTTGGATGGAAGAGTAACAAGGGCGAATTGTTGGCAACCGACATGAGATGACAAAATGGTACCGAATTTGGACAAAGTTGAGGTTTTACCTTGTCGATGGTTAAACAGCTATGATCTACTTGAATCCAAGTTAAAACTTACTTAAAATGTGCTTGACACCATTATGTTTGAGCTGCCGTACATATTTGGAAGGATTTCAACGAGATCGGCGATAAACAGCGGAGTAAAGTGGAGAATTTGGTCAAATACGTCCATTTGCAGGAGGTACGTAGGTAAATTTCAAATTATTATTTCGGTCACAAAGTGTCAACTATTTTACACCAAAGCAGTGATAATATACATAAGTACCAATTATGTTTCTATAAAAAAGATTTAGGAAAAAAGGTAATGTAGGTCCACTGCTGTTTATCTGAATTTGTAAGTCACAAATTGACGTTTGACTATGAGTATTGCATGGTCATTTTCTTGTGAAATATCAGTGCTAGGCATTTCACACTTACCAATGACCACCCTTAAAAGTACCATCTCTGAACCATATAAGCACCTCAGAATAGCCAAAGCTTTTATGGTTTGGTAGAAAGCGTCGTTTTTGGGTGTGGTCAGTTTCGGACGTCGAGGTTCGGGCAGCGTTATTGGGGCCCCGGATTGAGGTTCGGGCAGCGTTACCATGTTGACCGTCATGGTCAACTTGCCCTAAAACAACTCATATACAGGTCCTCGACTATAATCAAGCTGTATTACTTTCGTCAGACTCACATCGCACATGCTAAAATTTCTTCCTCAGCTTTGTTTATAATTTTTGTGGCAGTTTACAACATTTCACCTTGGCCATATTTAATATATAATTATTACAATGTTTAGTTGCTACAGCATTGATGGTTCATTTCATTTATAACTATTAATTATTCTCTAAACATATTGGAATCATGTAATGGAATAATCTCTGAATAACATAATAATGTTAAATGTGAGTTTCTTACTGTAACCATGATGAATAGCTCTTAGTAATAGCCTCCTGCATGTTATTGGTGGTGCAATGGTTTAAAGCACCTCTGATACTTGACACTTATACATTTTAATTTTACAGAATATTTTCAGTTATTGACTATTGTCTTCTCAGTATTCTCCAATGTCATAGTCATCTGGTATAGTTATACTATATCACAATATAACCACCGCAACAGGTCAGCCTCAACTGCCTATTCAACTATGATTTATTTGTTTTACTTTTTTGGTGTTAGCGAGCGTTGACCACTAAACCTTCCTCACTGACCTCGCCTATGGTAAAAACCTTCCTCGCGGGTAATGCCCGCGTGCCCGCAGCGTTTTTGCAACTCTGTCCGGCGCACAGCACTATAACAAATGTCTATTGCACATGACTGTATAGTCTGATGTGAGACTGAAAAAGACTTCAAAAACTGATCGTTATACATTGTGTTTATACAGGCATATTACAAACAATATGGAATACCGCTGTATTTACATCAAAATCTGCAATACTTACCTAAATTGTCTATCGAATGCATTCTTTCAGATGCGCTCAAAAGAGACGGAATGCTATTAAACACATTGTTCATAGGTTCTGTATCCAAGTCGGTTCTAGTCATCGTCCATGTAATATTATAACCAGTTATAACGCCGTTGGGATCCAAAGGTGGTTTCCAAGTTATGATTAGTTGTGATGAAGACACGGCAATCACTTCTACATTGGTTGGGGCACTGGGAGCTAATAACGAAAGGGACAATAATTGTTAAATACTATTGGACATTTTAAAACACGTATATAATACGTGTAATTTCGGTGACGCAAATTATTGGTTTTCCACTGCAGTTATAAAATATCTGATCAAGAAAAACCCGTAAAACTGTACATGAATTATTTTATTATTGTAGGATACACATTTAGTAGCTTATATAGATAGCTAAATTACAATATGCTTCACAAATGAAATGTTTCTATAAATAGTTAAAAAAACAAGTGTTAATTAATTCAATTAGCAGCTATGGTCTAGTCTATTTTACAATATTAAGCATGAATTAAAATTTCTTAAACTGTACTAAGTACATTAACAGTTATTAAAGTTAAAAATTACGCAAATGATCATAAGTTATTAGAAGAGGTCAGTTTAAAATCCGTCGAGCGCCAAGTTATAATTGCGTATAATGCAGAAACAAGCGAGTTGTTTCTAAAGTTAAAATTGTAAATCATGAAATCTCGTCTCTCTCTCTCCACTATTAATTAGTACATGGTATAGGCCCCCAGACTCACCAGTGTGCCACTTTGATCATTTTGAGAAAATAGTAGAGAAAGTTGATGCGACAAATCATGACTATTTCCTCCCAGGCGACATAAACGTGGATCTTATGCCGGGTATAACATCAGTCAATGGAAACTCAGAGATCCCAAGGATAGTGCAAAGTTGATATGGCAAATGATAATTAAGATTTTAATATGTTGATTCGCATAATGATTAATGTATGACCTGATAGGATTGATGAATCTATAAGGGAAGTTGTTTGGCGTTTGTTTTTATATATTGCAAGCCACGACAGTAAATTTTGTTGTTTTCGCATGGATGATTTTCCACGGCTTAATTCCTTGAATGGTGGCTTTAGTTCAGATCTTTTTTCTTTGCTTTTAATTCAAATTTCTACCCAAATTTCGTTGTATATTTAATACAAAACAAAATAAACAGCCTTTGAAAATCGAAATGAAACAAAAATGAACAGCTTGCAAGAAATTGTTGTCACCTGACAGGACGAGTTCAAGTCGACTGCGTCACAGAATAGATAAGTGCATCCATCTTCATTCATAGTGTGATAGTGCATAAATGTATAGATTATAGAGTGACATAACAAATGTTGCATGGGATATTCATTTTTAGCCAATCTGGTGTACTTGATAGATTATTGAAAGGGTACTTGATAGAGATGAATGGTTATCACTGTTTCAATTTTAAAGGAAAACTTTCTTACCAAGTGTAGACCCTGAACAACCAAAAAATGTCAAATTTTTAGTTTCATCTATCATTGAAACTTCAAGGGGAGGTGCATATGACGTTTTAGGAGAGGTGCAAAAATTCTCAGGGGAGGTGCAAAACTATTTCAGGGGAGGTGCCCACCTCAAAATCCGGCTATGGAAAGCGGATTTACAATGCACAGAATTATGCCAATGTGAAAATATGGAAAGCAGAGAACTTTTGTAATATTGATACATGAGACAAAAGGGATGGAATGTTGTCCTCAAATGAGCAACTCTTCATGGGGAGAATCCTCGACACAAAGAGCAGCTTAAAGGAGACAATGCTCCCCAAAATATTTTTGAAAACCAAGTGCCCCAGACTGGCTAAAAATGCATTTGCCAGGCAACATTTGTTACATTAATTAACATACAGTTATGATGTGTGATATCCACCAAAATTTATATATTCAATTATGCATTTGGAAATTGCATTTAAGGAGTTCATGCAGTTATACTATATGATATTCGATATTATGTTATTCGAATTCATTCGGCATGAAACAGTCATAAATTATTGAAATTTCATTTGTCGTGAAACAGTCATTCGGCATGGCACTCAGAAACCAAAATTTGACTTCCGGTTTGGCATGGCACTCAGAAACCAAAACTGGACTTCCGGTTTAGGGGGAAATTGTAATTCCATCATGACCGAAGTTGAAGGCAAGTTAAGTCAACAAGACACAAATATAAGTGTTGTCCCAGTAAACGTATTCATTTGGAAGCAACTGTGTTGAGGAACTTAGACATCGGCGACCAGTATGCCCATACAGCCCAAAAAGATTTCTAAAATTCCCCAACACTCTTTCTGAATTTGATGTACTGACGGCAGTGTCGCCAGGTGATGTAGTAGCATGCGATTTGCTTTGAGAAATTATGTATCGATCAATTCGAAACTTCGCCATCCCCCCCCGGGCCGACCCCGGGAATTTGAACTTTTTGAAATTTGACTGATCAAATTCTCCACCCCCTGTGCAAAAAATGTCTTCAAATGCCCCACTGTAACAATAAATTAAGCGTTCAAATGCCCCACCTTCATATGAAAATTATGAAACAGTAAATACAAAAAGTACAAAATATACGGAAATGTTTTTCGACAAGATAGCGAAATTCACGTAAAAACTTTGGATACCTTGTGGAAATTTAACAGTTTTACACAATTATGTAGTACATACCTTCAAATGAAGCACATAGATTTTCCATGCCCGTTTCTTTGAGCCAGTTATTCACAAAATGAAGGCCGTTTCCCTCGAAATCTGAGAAAACTGTATTTGCCGCCAATGCGAAGTATTTTCTGTGCATGCAGGAAGCACGCGAAACGGGCAAAATTTTAAGACTTCCGGTTCAAATTCCCCACCCCGTTATCAAATGCCCTACCACATGGAAGACCTAGAACGTCAAATTCCCTACTCCCTGGAGAAGTATGCCCGGGGGGGGGGATGGTGAAGTTTCGAATTGATCGATACATTACATTTGGATTCGCAACTTGTGCTGAAGAAACATCATTTGATGATCCAGGATATTCTCTGATCATTGTTGTTGCTTCTTGCAACAAAGAAACAGCACACTGTTGACTTAAATTGCCTTCGCCTTCAGTCATGTTGAAATTATAATTCCCCGTGTGCTATTCCCGCTACACCGGAAGTCAAATTTTGGTTTCTGAGTGCCATGCCGAATGACTATTTCAGTAATGACTGTTTCACGCCGAATGAAATTTCAATAATGACTGTTTCACGCCGAATGAAATTCGAATATCATAATATCGAATATCATAATTATAGCATAACTGAACTTCATAAATGCAATTTCCAATGGCATAATTGAATATATAAATTTTGGCGGATATCACACCTCATATATAGTAACTCTCTAATCTATACATTTATATATACTATCACACTATCAGTGAAAATTGATGCATTTCATACAGAACAGGTAACATATCCTTTAACTGATACAGAACAGCTAACATCAACACTGTTGACTTAAATTGCCTTTGCCTTCGGCCATGTTGAAATTATAATTCCCCGCGTGCTTTTCCCGCTACACCGGAAGTCAAATTTTGGTTTCTGAGTGCCATGCCGAATGACTATTTCAGTAATGACTGTTTCACGCCGAATGAAATTTCAATAATGACTGTTTCACGCCGAATGAAATTCGAATATCATAATATCGAATATCATAATTATAGCATAACTGAACTTCATAAATGCAATTTCCAATGGCATAATTGAATATATAAATTTTGGCGGATATCATACCTCATATATAGTAACTCTCTAATCTATACATTTATATACTGTCATACTATCAGTGAAAATTGATGCATTTCTTAGCTCATTCCAACCTCGTTCCCAGGCTCTTTGCTCTTGGGCTTCCCAAGAGCAAAGAGCCTGGGAACGAGGTTGAGCTCATTCCTATGGGAATGAGCTAAGAAATGCTGCAGCATCAATTTTCACTGATACAGAACAGGTAACATCCTTTCTATTGGTTTTTTATAGTTTTTCCACCCCTGTACCAGACAGACGACAGCATCTTTATAAAATTTGTTGGCTGCGAATGGAAAAAGGCTTCTCAAACAAAAAGATGCTCTTGTTTTAAAGCAAAAATTTGAAATGCACTGAACCAACGCAGCAATTCTGAGAACAATGAGATATGGATGACAATGACGAGGCAGTGGATTGTGGTGATTGTGTAGTTTTACACAAAAAGAAAACTAGTGTGCTTTAAATATTGTTTATTAGTATTTGATAGTTTTTGGTTTACCATCTAAAAATATTTTTGTTACTATAAACTTGAAGTTTCTTTAATTTGTTCTTCATTACACGCCATATTAAAAGATGAAATTGTCTACATGCACTTTAAAAGTTCATAATCTTGAAAGAATGCCTGGTGGCGCTAGGTATCTACAAAGCCAGAAAATACGTTCGGTCGCAATTACATCAAATCTGAATTCACATATCTCAAGATTAGGCGGAAGTGACCTATCCTGTATAATTTTCACTATGCCTATGGCGCGCGAGTGAATGCTTCCGAAAGTACGCATTTTGAGGTGTGGCATATAGTAAAAATGTTATTGCGAAAGTCGTAAATTTTAACATTTTTATCGCAATTTACAAAAAAACTGCAGGATTTATCGACAAGAACTTTTTAGAATTGGATTCAGCGTGTTTAAATCTTAAAAATATATAAGTATTATTAGCTTAGCGAGGTATACAGTGAAACTAAACGTTTGAGGGCACTAGCTCACGGCTTATGACTGCAGGAGAACGTTTCGCAGCCGGTGAAAAGCATTTGACTGGTATATGATAGTTAAGCAATTTGCTGTCAGTTGATGGTAACAGTATGTTAGATAGGAAGTGAATGACGTCAGTAGCGTATAGCCAGGGTTTACAACTGTAATACAACTGACGTAATACAAACAAGACGCATGAAAAGTTTGTGATATATAATAAGATGTGTTATGTCGCCTGCAGTTTGCAAAGTATGCAAACAAACGCATCTGTAAATATACACAGAATTTTTGTTCCTTAAAAATACTGCAGTATAGCTTAAAAATACTGCATGATGTTGTATGTATAGTATTGACGAATTTTACGAATGCATAGAAACTTGTAAAAGAGGTGCATGTCATTCGCCAATCAGCGGCAAGTGCGCGCCTAAACCTTCCTGTTAGATCGATTATCGTATTGGATCTATCAGTCACGAGTGTGCGTTGGCATTCCTGATGAGGATAGACATGTTTCTAGGAGTTCCATGTTAGATAAAATAACAAAATTTGAGGGTCTATAGCGTTGCCCACTTACAGTTACAGAGTAGAATTTATACTTTATAGCTCAATATGTTTGTATCGTATCCAATAAACATAGTCATTCTGATTGGCGACATTCGTGACAGGGCTATAACACTTCCAAACAATTCATCTATACGAAACGGAAATTTTACTTCCTATGCACCAGGCAATTTTTGCGGGAAACCTGGGAAAGACCGCCTGCCATGCAGGCTAAGCGGAAAAGTGGCCTGAAGAGTATGTTTGTAAACAGATAAATACAGGACAATTTAACTTAACAAATATCCATGGCCAGTAATACAATAAAATGTTTTGTTTTTTTCTTGCTGTTGTCCTTATATAGACTAACAGGGTCTTTATAGCAATGTACTGTATATATCCGCATATGCATGTATTTTTAATAAAAAGGCAAAACAATTTAAGTTATATGTATATCAGGGCGTATTTTTGTGAAAGAGGTAATTAAACGCATCAAGAAGGCATTAATAGAAGCTCTCCTGTCTGATTTTATATACGAACTAAGGTTGTTCGAATACATTCAGTAATTGCTTCCGCAGCGAGCGAGCCTGAAGCAAGCGAGCAAGGCAGCAGACCTAATCTTTATGTATATGTATTATATATATGCAGATGAAATCTCGATCGTCTCGGCGTATTTCAGCCTACAACAATGTACTGCTTCCGGGCCGGCAGGCTATTCTTGCCTAATAAACAAGCATAAGGCAAACAAGGAATGTAATCATCTTTCCTGATCTTTGGTTTTCTTTAGTGGAAAGCCATAGCTGGCGTAAGTGATCAAACGGCATTTTGTCGATACGCAGTGGTTCGAGCGTTATACGCGGTGCTTTCGCTATTATACGCAGTGGTTCGAGCATTATACGTGGTGCTTTCGCCATTATACACACGGTGTGTTTGCCATTATACTGTACGCAGTGGTTCGAGCATTATACGGGGCGCTTTTAACATAATTTGCATATTCTTTCCATGTATATAATCTCACGATTGCTTAAACTTGGCATGGGGCTGTGCTTTTTGCCTCTGGTCTGCAATGACAATGACATGCTTTTAAAGGTTTATTTTATAAAAAGGTGTCTGCACTTTGTGAATTGTATTTATCATATAGTGTTGATTTATTAGAAATAAATCTGTGTATATAACATAGGTATATAAATTAATACGCATGGGTATATAAATTAATACGATGGCGACATCTGAGACCATAATATTAGTAATTTTATAAATTTAGTAATAAGAATAACCAAATAGGAAAATATCAAATCAAAATATGTATAATTTGAGGGGTGCAAAAACTTTTTAGGGGCGGTGCCAAATGCCTCTGGGGGGGGAGGGGTGCAAAGTATTTCTGGGGGCACCCCCCCCCCCCGAAAAAATCCGTGCCTGCTCCATCACAAGGCTGTGCATAAGTAAACAGATTCCACATGTGAGGTTGTCTTGTATATATTTTTGTCTTCTTTGATAAACTGGTTACTATGTAATGTCGGACTTAAATTTTAATATAGTTACATTTTGCATTGTGCATTTTCATTCACTGATGAAGTATATTATGCATATATTTGCACCAACTGAGTGTGTTTTAAATACTGATCATGGTGCGTTTAAACTCATGAAGTATATGTATCATATTTAGTGGGGCAGAGTTTTGTGTGTTTTAAATATCAATTCGTATGTATATAAACCGTGTTTCTTAAAAACGAAGCAAACTCATAAAAACATATCATATTTAAATGCACGGACTCATGGTGTTTTAACTCAGTGCGTATACCGGGTGTCCCAAAAAAAACTATACCCACTTTGATTTCATGTAACGTAAAACCTATAAAAGCTATTTCACTAAAATAAAAACCATTGTATTCACAAATAATAAACTTATAAATTTTGATATATAACATTTGATTTTCCGTGCGGTATTGACAGAAATACAAGTCTTTGAAGTTGCGAGGAGTTTTTGAAATTGGCGAAAAAACAACAAAAATCGCCGCATCAAACTAAACTGAAAGCAGTTTTCACTTTACATGGAATCTTTTTAACTTCAGTGATTTTATCTTTAATTTTGGATCATTCCCTTGCAAATTTACTTTAAAAATTACACTCATACCAATAAATTGCCCATATAAGTAGGACATATGCAGTGATATACTCCAACGCGCACATCAAACATAGACAAGCATTTCAAATTTAGATCATTTTTAGGTCTGAATTGATATAAACATAAATATAAAGTCCATATAAACGCATGGAGGGATATAATATATAATAAAATGCAAATACTGCTATATCAAGAAATGCCATACATCAGGCCAGATCTCCCACAGCGGTCTGTAGTGTTGGCCTTTGCGAGATTCCATATACAACAACAAACGACGTTAGCATCCTTTTACTGACTCTGAAACTCAAGGAATATGCTGCGCAATCGTTTATCTTTGGTTTAGGCTTGATAATGTGCTAATTATACGTCCAGTTGAGCGAGAATTCTTTAAAATCAGGCAATATACGAACAACCAAATGCGCAGATAGCGCCTGTGTTTACACGCAGATTTGGTTGAAGAAATACGCATTTTGCCCCCAGATATTTAGGACGAAACAACAATAATTTAGTATCGAAATGCTCGTCACAGTGAAGCGATTCTGAATTTGCTCCTACTTTTGAGACTACGCATGCTCCGATTGGGATATGCCGCTTTTTCGTCTGACCGCGCACCTAGTTCGCGTCACAATATAGAGATTTATTCTATCGGATTACAAAGTTTCGAAACGATTTTGCCCCCAGCATATTATTCATTTTCCGGCAAATTTTGACGTTTATATATAGAATTATGAACATATTTTATGTATCCGTTCCTACTTTTTAGAAAAGCAATAAAAATCATCTCTAATATACGGTTTTGTTCATAATTTTGGCGATTTTCAACCATTTATCGCTGAAATTTCTGGGGACTGGGAACGAGCTCTGGTTTTATAGGCAAATGTCCAAAATTTCTTGCCATGTAAAGATTGATTCTTAGGTATAAAACAAAGTAATAATTCACATTAAACGAAAGTTCCATATGACGTCTCTTGGGAATCAAATTGGCAATGAAATAAACATTGCATGTTGATTAGCCTAAAGTTAACAAAAGACAACAACGAGTTTGGATTTGTATCGACACGCTTTTCCTGATGAGTAAACTCATATTAGACCATTCTTTTGTACATAATTTCATGAAGGCATTCTTTTAGCTAGAATAAAAATTATCAAAAACTAAATTTGAATTTGATATGCTGTTTTATGCTAATTTTTAACATTTCATGCAGAAATGTCTGTTGAACTTTGAAACGTTAATAGGCTAATAGCTGTGTGAATATGGCACGAAAATGTAAATGTTATATATCAAAATCTAAGTTAACCCTTTGTGAATACAATGCTTTTTATTTTAGTGAAATAGCTGTAATAGGTTTTACGGTACATGAAATCAAACAGGGTATAGTTTTTTTGAGACACCCAGTATATAAACCGTGTTTCTTAAAAACGAAGCAAACTCATGAAGACATATCATATTTAAATGCACGGACTGGTGTTTTAATAAATATCAATGCGTTTATATAAACCGTGTTTCTTAAAAACGAAGCAAACTCATGAAGTCATATATCAGAAGTTCATCAACCTCAGGACAAAATTCATTGATAATTTATATAAAATAAATAGGTTTTTCAACTTATTTACTTCGGAAAACCTATTTATATATATTATGGCTATGAAGGATAAGTCAATAATGAAGTTAGTAGGCAAATATTGTTTCGACGTTTTGGCTGCTTTTGATAGCCTGGTCTAATTACTCACGTGTGCGTGTGTATGTATGTGTATTTATACATTTATCAACTTTTTTCATATATATTAATATCTATGTTATTGTTATAGACCGTAACGACTTATTTAGTTATTTACCCATGTATTCTATGTCCCAATATTGGGACTTTGTTTGAATAAATTATTATTATTATTATATCATATTTAAATGCACGGACTGGTGTTTTAAATATCAATGCGTAGCCTATACCGTCAGGTTTCTTAAAAACGAAGCAAACTCATGAAGTCACATATCATATATAAATGCACGGACTGGTGTTTTAAATATCAATACGTAGCCTATATATTTAAATTCACGGAGTAATGTTTTAAATATCAATTAAAATATCAATGTATTTATATAACTAAGCGTGTTTCTTAAAAACGAAGCAAACTCATGAAGACATATATATTTAAATGCATGGACTGCGGTGTTTTAAATATCAATGCGTATATATAAACCATGTTTCTTAAAAACGAAGCAAACTCATGTAGACATATAATATTTAAATCCACGGTCTGGTGTTTTAAATGTCAGTGCGTTTATATAAAGCGTCAAAAGCGTGTTTCTTAAAAACGAAGCAAACTCATGAAGTGATACCCAGGCGTTATAGTAAGCCTGCAGTACTCGTCAATTAAGATAAGATTAAGTCTTCATCTCTTCACGATTCTTTTGACACTGCAGATAACAGATTGTGAATCCTATCACCGCGGCATACCGTCGGTGAATATCCTAATAATGAGATCATGTTTCTTTTGACACTGCAGGTGACGAATCGGTATTCGTATTTACCGATGGTTAAAACATTTTTACCATTCGTTGCGTATCGTAATATTGGATATGTATGTCAAACAAGGACAAAAATACTACAGTTCGAATCAGCGTAAGAAGTTATACTCACAGATGTCAAATGTAGGGCATTACTAAACAACAGTATTCTAGCGATTTATTGCCTTTGAAAGACAAGCGAAATTGTATTGTTCACAAATCGCTCAAAATTATTAAACTATAATTAAAAATGCAGTCCGTTTGATCCTTGATAACTTCGGATTGTTGGTTTTCTCGTTTTTGGCCGTATGCCAGTGGATTCGTCTCACTTTTCTCCTCATTTTGATAGTATTTTGAGCTCAAAATATTTTATTTTGAAGGCTTTAAAACGCAGTTTTGATCCTAATATACGGACCAACTGGCGGCCGACAGGAGAATGTGTAGCGTGCTAAATATAACTTTACTTGTGCATGTAGGCGGAAACGCCGAAAGTTTTATTTGTAGGCGGGCACCGCGTTTTACTTTAGTATTGTGTCTGGTTAAATATAATATTTTACAGTTTATCAATGAAATGCCATAACTGCATAAATGAGAAATACCAATAGTTCAGTTGACAAAAGCTTGGAATGACTGTTTTATATAAAACGTCTCGGAAACAATACGAACTGACATTACTGACTACAGATTACACTGAGTACAGAAATTTCTGCTATTAAAAATAATATACTTCACCACAAACACTAGATCATTATTAATACAGACATTTATAGTTCACTGGGACATTGGCTCTCGCCGGCGTCGCCGCTACAATACAAATATATACGCTCGACCTCGGCATGTTGCCTCTGGAGCAAAATTTCAATTTTTTTATGATTTACTATTTATTGAATAGGCCTATTGGGCCATGTAAACCTAGCTCTATCGCGATATAATAATACAAGAATAAGCTAACTGCTATAGACTGCGAGCGGTCCCTCCTTTTCGCGGGTTATATGTGATATAATAATACAAGAATAAGCTAGATGATAGAAATCAGCTGCTGCATGACTTATAATTTTATATCAAAACTATCCATTGGCACTTATTCATGCATACATCCCTCCGTATCTTTCATAGATATTAAACCACTGTGCTATAATACTATCAACCTCAGATGTAATACACTCTAGTCTACACGATTTCACACCGCCGCTCAATAGTCACCGCTCGTCCATGTCCGCCATTGTAAAATAAGAACATATGAAAGCACGTGTATTATGCACGTGCATTAATGTTACAGGGGGGCATATCATATAATAACAAGTGCTTGAAATGCAACAGTAATTTGGTTATAACTGTTATAACTTCTCTAAATGTCAGATAAATAAGTAAGAACATGTACCATCATGATTATAAATATAGATTGTTATAATCTACAAACAGCTATGAACGATTAGTTGGCCGAACAATGCGAACAGCGCGAAGCTCTAGAAAACGTAATAAAAATAATTTGCAAGCTCCCCCCGGATTGTTTACTCTATAGATCGATCGATCGGTCACTGAATTGAATTTAACCTCATAACAATAGTGCAAAGCAACTTTGCACTAATAAATTGAATGATATATTCGAAATTTTTGGCTTAAAACAACTTATTGTAGATCCTACCAGAACTACACCATATTCTTCTACCCTTATTGATCTTTGTGTTGCAAACGCTCCATCAAAGATCGTAAATTCAGGGATAATAGAACTTTCTATAAGTGACCATGTTTTGGTCTATATGACACACAAAGTCCACTACAAACACACATGCTCGCGACTAGTTCATATAAGCATGAAAAATTTTAACACAGAACATTATTTAAGAGATTTAGAACAACAAGCATGGGCAGACGTAAACCTAAGCAATGATCCTGATGAAATGTGGGTGAAATGGAAGAACATGTTAATTAATTGTATTGACAAGCATGCACCACTCAGATCAAAAAGAGTTGGGAAAAAGAAATCTCCCTGGATCACAGCCAATTAAAGCAAAAAATGCGTAAGAGAGATTTTCTGAAAAAGAAAGCTAAGCAGACCGGTGATCCATTAATTTGGCAACAATATAAACCTTCACGAAATAGCACGAATAATGAAATTAAAAGTGCAAAAAGTCAATAATTTAAGATTAACCTTGAGGCTAATAAGAAAAATCCAAAATCAACCTGGAAACTTATTAACGAATTAAACTCTCGTAATGCCTCTAGCCACAAAACTATATCCAATATCAAAGTGGGTGAAGAAACCATACATACACCCAAGCAAATAGCGGAGACATTTAATTCTCACTTTGCTAGTGTGGGTGAAAATTTAGCATCTGATATACCACCCTCTACCATAGAACCTGACGTATATGTTGTGCCTGCTGAAACTACATTTTCAATGAAATCCCTCACTGTATATACAGTTTACAAAAAATTAAAAGCATTTAACAAAAGGAAAGCAGCTGGTCTTGATAAAGTACCTTGCAAACTTTTAAGAATTTCAGCTGAAATAGTTGCCCCATTGTTAACTCAAATACTTAATAAGACTATAAGTACAAGCATCTTTCCTACAGACTGGAAGCTAGCGAGAGTTACTCCAATTTTTAAGAAAGGTAAAAAAGACGACATATATATGTTATTTCTGTAGTAGCAAAGATTTTTGAAAAGTTTACTTTTGAGCAGTTGTATGAGTATCTGAACAACAACAATCTAATATCTGCGTCTCGATCTGGATTTCGATCATTGCACAGTACACTAACTGTCCTAATAGAAGCCACGGATAATTGGTCAATAAATATAGATAAGGGCCTTCTTAACGGAGTAATTTTTATCGATCTTAAAAAAGCATTTGATACTATTGATCACACCACTCTTTTACGGAAGTTACGAATTTATGGCGTTGATGAAAATAGTATCAAATTCTTCGAATCATACATAAGCAACCACAGTCAAAGATGTTGCGTCAATAGTGAGTTATCTGAAACTGCTAAAATAACCTGTGGGGTACCACAAGGCAGTAATTTGGGACCTCTATTGTTCATAATATACATAAATGATTTGCCTAATTGTCTCGACAGAGCCTCTCCAAGAATGTTTGCTGACGACACTAATATTAGCATCGCAACAAATAAGGTGTGTTCAGAGTTTCTTAAGTTATATCCTGTGCTGCGAGATTCAAACAATTAATGGAGATAGAACGGAGTTAGATTGTTAATTGTTTTAAACATTAGTATAGCATTATGCTTTTTCCGACGTGTTAAATTAAAAGATTATCCCAGCCCTGCTTACTGAAAAGGTCGCTGGAACTAGCATCATATTGAGATTTAGTGATGACCCTCGCTGCCCTATTTTGCAAGCCTGAGGATTCAGTCGTTTCGTTGACTCTCTTAATAGTCTTTCCGTCGATTTCTATCCTTATGTGTTCGTTATCATGTAGTAGTAATCTTTGACGAGATCCTATTATCATGAATTCCGTTTTAGCTACGTTAAGACTCAGTCTATTAGCTAGTAGCCATTGATGAAGATTTTTCAATTCAGAGTTTATTATTTGCTCAAGCTCCGTGGCGGAATTTGCTCCAAAACCAAGAACGAACTACGGTAAGCGAAGTTTCAGTTATAGCGGGGCAGTTTATATGGAACGAGTTACCACAAAATGTACGAACAACATGCTCCCTAAGTCAATTCAAAAGAGCAATTGACAATCTGTTCTCTATATGAGATGGACTCCCGCACGACAATCTTGTAAATCAGTATATTTTAGTGTTTGGATAAGTTTAAAGTGTATATTAATTGTCATAGCGTAATTGTAATTATATGTTAGTTAATTATCTTGTAAAATGTTATACTTAATACTGTAGATTTCACCGTGTTAAAATAAAGTTTTTGATTAATTTTTGATATTTGGCCAAATGCATGTGCTTGGTAACAAACTGTGGAGTTATTGGGCAGGATCTTTCATATCTTTTACGTATACCAGATTTATACACGTAGCGTCTCTGCGACTCTTTAATAATGGTACAGTAATTGCACTGAGTGGAGTGCAATTTGGTCTGAAATCAATAAATTACGATTTGTAATTTGTAAGTTTGATTTCAGACCAAATTTGCACGATACGAAGTGCAATTTTCACTTTATTATATTCATTTTGAAATCTTAATTTTAAACAATTTTGTAAAACGGAAACAGTTGTCTTTTTGCGAAAAACACCCCCTTTAAATCTCGAAACGTTTTATCGAACAAATGAAGACATTTATGCATACTGTGAAGACTAAAAGACAACCAATATAAGTTTATTAAACATGCTATAGGTTTTATTAGCAATTTGATGGGGGTTTTGGTGCGGTTTGTTCATTCAAACATCAACAAATTATATGATGTACGAATTACCTTGTCCTTGACGACTTGTGAACTTGGCAAAACGATAAAAGAATATTTAAATATAATAATATAACTTTCAAAGCACTGACTAAGTACAATAAATCACTACGAACATAAATTGTATACCCCCCCCCCCCCGCTGGCCAAGGAGGCTTTCTTGTATTTGGAATAACTTCTTCTGAGTCTTATATAAGTTTTTCAACAACAACAACCGTTTCTAAACCTTTTAATTCTTTCTCTTCAACTATATGTTAATTAACTTAAACTTTTTAACTATTCTGCTTATATACTATTCGATAGATATTTATAGAACATTACATAAACGCTATTTTTAGATATGACGTATAAGATAAATATAGCAAAACATGAGTTAGCATAATTACGTAATGTCTTAAATTGAGAATGTCATGACGTGACTGGCTTCACGTCACACACGTTTAACTGAAATTACTTTATCACCGGCCGACCAGCCAAGTAATGGGTAAACACTTGTTCAGGTTCTTATAAAATTTAAACTTTTCAATCAAGGCTGAACATGTAACAAAAACTTGATATTTATGATACAATATTCTGCCAGCTTCCTACAATCAGTGACAAAAGTTTTTTGGACAGTGATATAATATAGACATATCTGCGCCTTTCCAAATACTGTTCAGCATAAAACCACTATCCCTCCCTCCCCCACCCTAAACAATGTTGGGTGACTGGCAAGGAACATTTCGCGCAGGTATATATATATATATATATATATATATATATATATATATATATATATATATATATATATATATATATATATATATATATATATATATATATATATATATATATATATATATATATATATGCATGGTTTAACTAATAAGTATACGTCATAGGGCAGCAGCTCAGGCCATGCTTAACTAGGTTTCGTTGGTTATAAAAACTTTTGGTAAAGTGCTCAATGGAAAACCAGAGCATATTTAAATTAAGGTACAACAATCAACAAAATCCACTAGGCATCTTTATTACTAAATAGTTTCGTACCACAAAATGTGGCACTCTTCAGATAACTCTTAACATGTGTAGTTGCCCTAAAAACAATAAAGAACTGTGCCCACTATCTAACAAATGTACCACTGAATCGGTTGTATATCAAGCCACAGTCATTACTAAGGACAAAACAACAAATAGACCTCCCCAAACATATGTCGGACTTACAGAAAACTCGTTTAAAACTAGACTTGCAAACCATAAAGCATCATTGAACTCTTTCGACAAACGGAACGCTACCGAACTAAGCAAATATACGTGCGGGAATTGAAAACCAAAAACATCAATTATACAATCAAATGGAAACTATTGAAACGAGCTAAGCCTTATAACTGTGCTTCAAATCGGTGTAATTTGTGTTTATGGGAGAAATACTTTATTATTTGTAAGCCAAAAATGGCCACATTAAACAAACGAAATGAGTTAGTGTCTGCTGTAGGCATAATAAAAAATTCCTTTTAAATTAAGTAACATTTAAAAAGCTAGACATTTAAATATACCGCGGTGTGTTAATCTTTCCGCGTCCTGTCAGCTTATCACATAACATGTTAATTAAATCGCGTGGTTTGTAAATAGGATTAAGTTTTTTAAATATATATATATATATATATATATATATATATATATATATATATATATATATATATATATATATATATATATATATATATACATATATATGTAATCGCACTATTTTTAGCCAATCAGATTGCTCGAGTCGGGCATGATTTCAAAATGAATATAATAAAGGTTGTAATATCACATTGTCATTGAATTAAGGCTTGTTCAAAGCATATTATTTTCAGGGCACGTTTTTGGATCCTTTCAATATCCCAAGATTGCTCGTTATTCAAACTCCCATGCCTAATTTGCATAGATATCTTATATACACTAGATAGTGCATCTAATTATTCTGCAATTCAAAAATTGAAGCCGTGATTGCAGTCTCAGGTCGTTCCCATGAAATGAGAAGGTTCGTATGTTTTCTATTTCTTAAACGGGGAACTTAAACATTAAGTTAACCCTATTCCAAATACGTTTTTAAACTATTCAAATGATGAAAGTTATTGTTGTTTTTAAGCGTATATCAGCAAGTGGGAACGACCAACATGGCCGCCATCTATTCAAATGGGGGTAACCGCTGGAATATTCTTGGCTTCAATTTTGCTAAAAGAGATGCGCTATCTAGTGTATATAAGATATCTATGCTAATTTGTGCTCCATACTCTAATATTGATCTGATTGCCCAGGTATAAGGTCATCTTTTGGTGCATGATAATTTTTAAGGATTTTTAAGAAGTACAGTCGCTTAACAGCCTTCTTGATAATATATTCCGTATTTGTATTCTCCAAATACAGTATAGCAATACAAAATAGGCATTGTCCAAATACAGCAGAACAACAACGTGATCAATAGCAACGATAGAACAACAATGTGATCAGGGTGTTTTAGAAAAAATAACGGCAATTACATGAAATTGTAAAATTCAGTTATGAGTTTAACGCAAGGCGCTGATGCATGGGCTGAGCTAAATTGAAATCTTTGAAGTGACCTTCGCAACTTTCCGCGCTACATGCCGAAAATCAGAAAAATGTATTCGCATAAAACATTTATTTTAACTGTATTAAATGTTATCAAGATTTCTGGCCCATTTTTATGCTACTTTTTTGTACTTTGTGCAAACTAATATTGGTTTCCCCCCAAAATTAATAAATTGGTTTTTCGAGTGCAATTGTGCGAAGTACTGGAAAATTTATCTTTTAATTCCTTAAATGTGTGGACTACTGAAAACAGATTTCATTGTGTATCCAAATAATTGCATTTTTAACTAGAGGGCACTCAGAGACTGCATACCTCCGCCCGTTACTCGGAAGTGAAACGCAACCTTGGAATTTCCTAAGAAATCCACTTTATAATTCTTAAGCATAAAAGATTTCAGGCCCCCGCGAATTGAAATCGAATTGCTAATAGAACATATTACTGTTGTTGTGCTGTACAGTACTTGTAAAATAAAAACTTATTAAGTGTCATTAAATAAATGCATAAATTTTGCTTTATGCACTCGCGCGTGCAGTAATTTTCACAGTTGTGCTATTTTAAATTCCCAGGCAGCTAAAATCTTTTGTCTTTAAAACAATGTCGATTTCTTGGAAATTCCAGGTTGCGTTCTTTTTATACACCCTGTATTGAAGTAATAATGTTGTTAGAATTTGAATGGCTGGCACTTTGCTGAACGTAATAATGCGTAACTCCGTAAGCCTTGTTTTAGACATGAATTTCGGTCGCGTGAAATGCAACTAAGACAATAGATAATAAGGCCGAAGCTTAATGAGGTTTATCATCTCATTATGTCTTAGCACTGAGTGCATAAATTATACATGTCCTAATTACGCATTCAGTAATATTTTTTGTTAATTGACCGGGAAAAGCAAGACAAAATTTTGTTCATTTCTCGTTCAATTTTTAACCAAATTCAACCAAATTTTAATCAGTTCTTCCTTAGCCGATGGGAAATGCATTCAAAAAATTTCGTAGGATATGTTTGGTATTTCTTGAGTTATCACCAGCTTCAAAGAAATAACATTCTACATTTTCACTTTTAGGGCACCAAGTTTGTGGTAAGGTAGACGGGACATGCTGTCAGCGTCAGCATGTGAGTTGTACTTCGGTACTCAATCTTGTAATGGTATGAGGCTAGGATAAGTGCCCATCTTTGTAGTCGTGAAGCCGTGTGGGCTGGAACAGAACAATGTGGTCCCAACAATGTAAGGAGTGGGCGATGATCAGTTAGGATGTAAATGAATTACAAGAGATATTGATGAAATCGTTTAAGTCCAAATATTATACTGAAAGCTTCCTTCTCAAGCTGTGAATAATTTCGTTGGGCCTCAGTTAATGTACATGATGCAAATGCTATCGGTTGGTGTTTCCCATTAATGACATGTGACAATACCGCTCCTGCACCATAAGAAGAAGCATCACATGATAGAACAAGAGGCAATGATTCATTATAATGTACTAGTGTTCTCGAATTTAGTAAAAGATTTTTAGCTGCTTTGAAAGCTGCGTCTTCTGATTTAGTCCACTTCCAAGGTACATTCTTCTTAAGCAGATTATTCAGCGGTGCTAATACAGTGGAATGGTGTGGCATAAATCGTGAGTAAAACATCATAAGTCCTAGGAAAGACTTAAGAGCCGTAGTATCCTTTGGAGGGGGGCATCACGCACAGCTGCCAGTTTGTCTTCAGTTGGATGGAGGCCAGCACTATCGATTAGATGACCTAGGTACACCACAGAAGACTGGAGAAATTTGCACTTAGATTTGTTTAACTTGAAACCAAACTTAAGCAATCTTTCTAGCACTTGGGACAAAGTATTCAGATGATCTTCATAATCAGTTCCAGCAATAAGAATGTCATCCAATCTGCTAACAGCTTTCGGAATATCTGCTAATAATCCATCCATAATTCTCTGAAATATAGCAGGACCTGAATGAATCCCGTTAGGCAATCTTTTAAAAGCAAAGAGACCCAGATGGGTGTTGATGGTAAGATACTTCTGAGACTCAGTTGAAATGGGAATTTGATGATAAGCTTGCTTCAGGTCTAATACACTGAATACTTGACAGCCCCTCAATGCAGAATGCATATCTTCTATTTTAGGCATTGGATAAGTCTCAACTTCAGCACATGCATTATAAGTAACACTGAAATCACCACAAACTCGAACTTCATCACCGTCCTTTTTGCCCACCGTAACAATAGGGGCAGCACTAACAGCAGAAGAAACCCTCTCAATGACACCATCTTTTTCCATTTTTAGTAGAGCACTTTCAACTCTTGTCTGTATTGCATACGGAACTGGACGTGCTTTATGGAATTTAGCTCCCTTACTTTCATTGAGAACTACAGCATCACCAGTGTAACACCCAATTTGAAACAGTTCATCATATTTTGATAGGAGTGAGTCCAATGTATTCTTATTTTCAGAAATCTTGGAGCATGTAGCTGTGGTAGTAAATGACGGTAACTCAATTCCAGGCAAATTGTTCCAATCTAGCTTTATACACCTTAGCCAGTTTCTTCCAAATAAGACACCAGAGCCCTGTGGTACTACCAGTAATGGAAGAGAGTGCTGAGTTCCAGCATAAGTAACATTAACATTGATTTGTCCCAAAGGTTGAATCTTTTCACCGGTATAGGTAGATAATCTCACTGCGGTAGGTTTTAAAGGGATATGGGAACAAAATTGCTCATAGAAGGTTTGGGGGGCCAAGGACAATGCACAACCAGTATCTAATTGTAAGGAACACTCTTGATTCTCAATTTTCAAGGGTACGGAAATTTCTGATTTGTATAGGGAGTTAACATCAAAAACCGTAAATAATTCTTCCTCAAGAAACACATCATCTGAACTCAGTTTCTGTTCGACAAAGTTATTTTGCATGTTACCTCTCTTGCAAACACGAGCAATGTGACCAGTCCGCTTACATCGGCTGCATACAACATTTCTAAATCTACACTGGGCCCGAGAATGTTCAGTACCTCCACAGGAATAACAGGCATATGAAAATTTCTGGGCGGTAGGCAATGGTGGTCTTAGGTTATTGGAATTTGATGTATTCCTGCTATTTGAAAACTTATCAGGAATTTGATTTCTACCCACAGTATGCACAGATTCGTTCACTGGTTTCGTATTGTTTTGAAATGCTAAAGTCTCCTTACTAGCAACTTCATCAGCTATGGCCACTTTTAACACATCTTGAAAAGTACGGTCTTCATTTAGTAACTTTTTCCGAGTAGCTGAATTACGAATTCCGCATATAAATTGATCACGCAGAGAACGGTTTAAGAACTGACCAAAGTCACAAGTGGAAGCATAATGTCGCAAACGTGCACTGTAATCAGAAACATTTTCATTTTCTTCTTGAATACACCGATGAAATCTATAAGTTTCAGCTACAACCAAACGTTTCGGTTTGTAATGAGTACGTAACATTTCACAAAGCTCAGAAAAACTTTTATCTTTCGGTGAATCAGGACTGCACAAATCACGAAGGGTTGCGTAAGATTTCTTTCCAATAACTGAAATAAATACCGCGACTTTTTTCTTGGCTGCAGCCGCAAGTACTTCTTGTGTAGCATCAGCAGGACATTGCCCGATAGAATTAGCGATAAAATATTGCTCTAATCTCTCCGAATATGCAGTAAACAACTCGGTACACGGATCAAATTCCCCCAGAACGCCGAATAATGGCGTCGAAGACATACTATTAAATTGTACTCGTACAAAATTAAAATCCAATAAATTACTGTTTTAAACTCGTTCGTTCAGCAAGAAAATATACAAGAATCCTTTATTGAACTCCCATGCTCGTCGCCAATTGTTATATCCTCAGAAATGCACTGTTATACAACTCAAACTCAACTTTTAATATCCTTAGAAAACTGAATAACAACCTTTGCTTTATCGCTCTCGCACATGTTCCTAAAACCCCCAAAGCGCATGCGCAATATATCACAACTTGTATGCCTTATTAGTCTTAACGACATATTAGTGAGCTTAAGCAAGTGACGTTTTTGACAACACGGACGTCGACCGGAAGTAAAATAGACGTTTTTCACCAATCACATTCCTTGACCCAGTCTTCTGACGTTACTCATGCCGTTCGTGTTGGCAAAAACGTCACTTGCTTAAGCTCACTATTGTTTCACACGACAACACGAAACAGTCAAAAACGATAATTTTGTTATTTTTGCCTGTATGTATAGTAATCTTGGCAGAACATTTTGAGCCCTGAACCCACAATCGTCCACAAAATATATTGAGACTTTTTAAATCAATCCCCTCCCCCCTTATTTCAATGTTGAAGCCTACTGTACTTATCCAAAACGAACATAAGATGGCACTAGCACCGCAGCTGTGTCACTGGCAGTTGAAATTTAACATATGATGTTGGAATTAAACTATATTGTAGTGCCTAACAACATTGAAATCGGGGGAGGGGGTTTGTCTCAAATATTTTGTGGACGATTGTCTGAAAATTGGGGAAAATCGAGCACAGGTTTTGGCTATTTACTGCATAATATTTTCTTTGGCAGCGCTTATGTTAATGTATACGAACAAAATTTGCATAACATATTTGGACTACATAGTATACATGCCGATATACAAGTATTATATTATGCGATAGTTTGTCCGGGTTAAGTTAAAATCCATACCTTACAGGCATCTAACGTTCCTTCGCAAGCTTGCCTTCGATTCGAAAAAGATATATCGATAATGAAGAATGAATAACATGCAACCATCACAAATCAAGATTTTTCTATTTTAAAGTACTATGTAAATTCAAGAACAATGCCAACATGTAAACAACCTCGTTCTCAAACTGGAAATTAGCCATTCGGATTAGTTTAATTAATGTATATGCATGGCTACCTGTTTTCGCTCCAAATTCAAATTTTAACAACGCGTTACCACGCGTTACCACGCGTTACCATACGTGTTACCACTAATATCAAACAGTTATTATTGCTACAATAAAACTTCCGCAATAAAAGTTCATTTCTAATGGTTCAAAACTACAAGATCGATATGCAAGTAATGACTAACAACGCGTTACCATGAGTTGCGCACGCGTTACCACGCGTTACCATCTTTTATTTAAAAAACTACTATATACATTTTATTAAAAACTTGACGGTAACGCGTGGTAACGCGTTGCTTTATCAACAAAATACCATAATGAATAGAATTACTAGGCGTTAACGCGTATGGTTATCCGAGATAACGCATGGAAATGCATTGTTTTAGTAATAGAAAAGCCAAATAGACAATTAGTACATGGTAACGCGTATGGTAACGCGTGGTAACGCGTATGGTAACGCGTATGGTAACGCGTGGTAATGTGTTCTGTTCGTAATAGAAAAGCCATATTATAAAACAATTAGTACATGGTAACGCATGTGGCAATGCGTGGTAACACGTTGCTTTAGTAATTTATATTTCAAAAGCCATATTAAACATTAGTTATGGTAACTTGAATAAATTAAAACTTTGACCCCACCAAGTAATCAAAAATTAATTAAAAAATGCTTATAGTTTCATCAACATTCAATTATCCATTAATTAACTTGAGTAACTAAAGTATTATTAATCCATGTGAAGTTATAGGACTTTCTCTAAGAAGTATGCACGGTTAATTCTCTAACTTAACGGACCGATCCAAGGATGTACTCGTCAGCCCCCCCGCCCCCCCCCTCATCCGGCTCAGAAGAAGACTTGATATGGTACCATTATACAACGTAGAGATCTTTGTATGGGCCTCACAATACTATCCAAATTATAGTGAATAGTAAGACGCTTCTATTACTTCACAAAAATTCCTTTAATATTTAATACTTGCCCCCACACCTCTGGGAATTAAATTCTCCCCCTCCCCCCCCCCGCCCACAGCTATTGTGCCGCACATAACATGATTTCAAATAACTTCGAGCTGCTGCCATCTAAGTTTTCTTAATTTCTAATATAATCGTCTACCAAACATATAGTGATATTTTTTTAATCTCTCCCCCATTTCTTTTATATCTCCGCCCCCCCCTGGTCAACTTGGCAGTACTGTACTATTGTACATGTGAACAATAACCCGAATAGTATCATCTACAGTGACTACTACACATGCACACAAAGTGATTTCATAAAAACTTCGAGATGCTCTTAACTAAGTCTTATCAATTTTTAAGACAATCGTCCACAAAATATATTGAGACTTTTTAAATCAATCCCCTCCCCCCTTATTTCAATGTTGAAGCCTACTGTACTTATCCAAAACGAACATAAGATGGCACTAGCACCGCAGCTGTGTCACTGGCAGTTGAAATTTAACATATGATGTTGGAATTAAACTATATTGTAGTGCCTAACAACATTGAAATCGGGGGAGGGGGTTTGTCTCAAATATTTTGTGGACGATTGCAGGTCCCCAGGAAGGATAAATTTTTCCACCTCTGCATAATGTTATTATGTATTAACATTGCCTGCTTAAGTAACATGTATGAAGTTGGTGATGAATACGTTCAATATATAATAGTATTAAGATGGCTCGATATAGTTATCACACGAACAAAATCGGGTGACCATTTTTTACGCAAGTCGCGGAAACTGTTTAACAAAATGAAATAAAACTTCCCAAATGACCTGATGTGGCAGTAGCTCACGCCATCGCACATCATTCCGCGTGTTCTATAGCGTTTATCTCAATTACTGACGTCATTACAATTTTCCATTTTAGAAAAACAATGGGCTATATCTCTCTATTTTGTCTGGTGACATATGTTCAAATTTTGCATGCTGTGTTGCACCGCTAAAATCTTCCATTATACAAAAAATAAAAAAGTATGTAATGGCAAAAACATTTTACCTAAGAATACGACATTTTTGCATTTTCCAAAAAAATTGCATTACTTTGCTAATTGTTAGTTTTTCTTCCAAGTAATATAATGCACGAAGAAAAATGGGAAAAGGAATCACCATGCTTCTTTTCCAACTATACGAAGCGATAGGCCATTCCGGAGTGAATTTCGTATACGTATGTTGTCATCGTAACGAACTATCTGTTACTAAAACTAATATAATTTGAAATATCTGCTGAATAAATGCAACATGTCAAAGTGTTGAACACCTAAATTTTTGAAAAGTGTATCGAGCCACCTTAATACCTTGATAAAAATTGCTTTCACAAGATTAGCAGGGGAAAATGTAGATAAAAATATGAAACTTTATTAATTAACGCTTAACACGTTTTTGCAGCTATTGAAATAGTAACGCTAACATGTTTGCTTGGTAAGGGGATCTTCCACAGCTACAACAAGTGTTAATCTTTGTAATTATTTCATTGTCAAAACATTCACCATATAGTACATATAGACACATGCCTAGTTGTTGAAATTAAATGCAAAAATAATGATGCTGAACTATTATAAGCGATTTATGTTGTTCAATATAAACTTATTCGGACAGTTCGTCACAGTTGGGGATCCCTTTAACATTATCATTTAATTAAACTTAAGCGTTCTTATCGCTAAACACAACATTAACAGCAAAACTGCTGATCGAACGACAGTTGAATACATATTCTTTGATAATTCTTAGATACCTTTGTGCAATACTCGCTGTATATTGTGTAACTTCAACACTTATGGTTTTGCAAAGTCCTGGCCGTTGCAAAATCCAAGTAAAAAGACATTCTTAAATGTCTGATAATTCTTCATGTGACTAACTGGAAATGTTATCACTCTTCCACATGCCCCTACCAGAGGAAAGCAAAGAGAATGCGCTGGATTTCGGATTAGACATTCGTGATCAAACTTTGCTTGAATCTTGATCTTTTCTCCATTTAACTGCCGATGCTTCTGGCCTGTAAGCCATTTCATTACTCCCGCAGATGACATATCCGCTGACGTCTCTTCTGTCGACTCTGCGTCAGCTGCTGCAACTTCTTCACCCTGATTTTCGCTGTCGTTCCATACCGGAGGAGTTGTATAGCCACTAATTTCTCCACCATCCAAAGCCATAAGTAGAACTTGGAAGTTATCCATGAGAGTTTCCTCAAGTTGTCGTCGCGAAGAGCCAACAGGGGAGAATACAGGTTGCATCAAACTGAACAAATATGTAGCAACAACGTTTTCCAATCGATTTTGTACAAACAAAGGCTCGCACACTTGAGGATAATCATCCAGGATGGTGGAGAGTCCAAACAAAGACAGACCTTCCTTAAATTCTCGTAGGTATAAGAGTCGCTTATTAACTAGGCTTACTTTCATCGATCTAACTATGTCATCGATGTGTTTTTCATCAACTGGACCAGTGTACCCATGTTCTAAAACTGAATCTCTATGTAGATTGATATTAATTTTTACGCTGTCGATGACTTGCTTTTCAGTGGCAGTCATACAGTCCTCGGAATCCATATCCAGAGCATTCATTTCAGGCTGTATCAGACTTTGAAATGCTTTCTCATCCATCAAGCAAGGTGGTGGCCCTCCATTTGCTAGGCTGCTAGCCACAATTTCACCACTAGTTCTGAAGTTCCCATTTTGTACATGGTGAGTTGAATCAACAGGGGTACCGTTAGGAAACAGCATATCTCCTATTGCAGGCACTACATCCGTAAAAAACTCCCTTGTCAATGCTCCACTGTCAATTCCATCCTCTTCAAGAAATTTTATTCTCAACTCGTGATGTACACCTTGCTTCTTGGCTTCATATCGCCACAAGTTTAACACACGTGGTAGTGGTGTTCTCCGTCTTACCGTGATGAAAAACTGTTTTTCTTTGTTCACACTCTTTTCCAAGGCTTGGACCACATCAGTAATTGTGCTATAATCATGGGGTATACTGATTCCGCTTGTTCCCTCTAATTGATTACTGTCTGATGTATCATTCGTGATTGACACAGTTTGGTCGAGCAAATTATGAGTAACACTTGTTTGAAAGGAGTTCTGAGAGCTGCTTTCACCTTGCAATTGTCTCTGGAGTTCAATGGCAAATGCTTCATCATTGTTGATCAAATCTGCTGTATCATCAAATTCAGTGAGGTCCCAGTCAACAACTTCGCAATTAAAACAGCCTCTTTAAGTCGCTTTGGTTGAATGTTGAATTCTTGTGCTGAGTCCGAGTCTTCATTCTCCATAGGAGACTCGCGATCGGCTCTCTCTGAATGCAAAAAATCGTCAGAAGTGCACAGGTACATAGTAATTCTCTTAAAATCCTTTCCTATTTCCTCTTGATAACGTCCCAACGAAAAAAATTCTTTCGTAGACCCAGGTAAAAATATCGCCTCTTTGTCACTGTCAAGTAAAAGAACATACGTATGGTTTTCACTGTAAAGGTCAGGATTGTAGGCTTTCCGCCATGACAGTATACAAGAACCAGGGCCGCCGAGAGGGGGGGCAAGGGGGGGGGCAAATTGACCCGGGCCCCGAGTTGCTGGGGGCCCCTGAAAAATTTTTGTTGGGCCCCAGCCTTTTTTGTGTGTTAAATATTTCCGCGCAAAAGACAAGATATCTGTTTTCTTGGGCTAAGTACCGAATTTTGGCATAAAAAAATTAGATAAAGTCCCTCGAAAGAAATTGCAACGTATTCGTCCGGAAAAATTTTGTACTCCGGAAAAAAGTTTTTACCCCTAAAATGGTACACTGACCGAAAATTTTTTGGCGACGGGGGGAGGTTGTTCTCCGGAAAAAAAATTTTCCGGGAAAAATTTTTTAGATAGGGGCCCCTAAAAAAAATTTGGCCCGGGCCCCCGCCAACCTCTCGGCGGCCCTGACAAGAACTGCCAGGCGCTACCTACCTGAATACTTCATGTATTGTAATTATTTAAAGCGCCAGGGTACGAGGCAGATCGTTAGCTTCGAGTAAAGAAGAAGTCGACATGCTTGAATGACCTGAAGACGTGTTCATTCAGGCTGAAAGCTTCGAGCTAAGAGGCTGTGATCAGGTTGTGTTGCCCGTTCAGTCATGCAAATCGGAAAATTGCATGACCAAGGCGTCAAAAACAGCCGCATTGCGCGTGCGCAAACGTCGTAAGCCAATCAGAAACCAACAAACCTAATATAAAACAAGACGCTCTGCGGAGCGTTGACTCGCTGGGGCTATACAAGTCATACAAATACGCACATTACTAAGTGGAAAAGTCGAATACCAGCGCAAAAGGCTTAACACAGTACTAAAATGCGGTAGGCCCTACAAGTAAAGTTATATTTAGTACGCTATATTCTTCAAGACTGTCAGCCGCCAGTTGGTCCGTGCGCTACACTGCTCACTAAGCTTTAAAACGTTCAAAATAAACTATTGGGGGTTTTTGGGCTCAAAATACTATCAAAATGAAGAGAGAAGTAAAACGGTCCGCTGGTATACGGCCGAAAAAGAGTGCCCCAGCGAGTAATGATATAGCTAGTCATGAAATTCTGAAAATGCATGACCAAAACACACAGCGAGCAAACCACGCAGCAATCACACGCAATCGTTTTCCACGCGCTTATAATTCTATTGTAAACAATTTTACTGAACTGATTTTTAAACATTTTGGGGGAAATTTTTAGTCATGCACTGCATGACCTGCATGATTTGGTCACCAGCGAAGCGAATTTTTCATATGTCTTTGGTCTCTCAACTGGAACCATGTGGAACTAATTGGATAAAGACAAAAGAAAAATTCGCAAGTGGAAAACCGGCTTTAGACAGAGTAATATTATAAAGTATGGTGCATCAGGGCGTAGTGCGACTCAATGGGTTAACTAGACACCTGAGCAGATAGGCCAGTTAACCCATTAAGCGCCAGAACTCTCCCTTGACGAGTAAAATCGTCTGGCATTAATAGACAGAGTGAAATAATAAAGTAGGGCGCATCAGGGTGCAATGCGACTCCATGTGTTAAACCGTCAAATTGACGTTATGAGTGAGTGGGTGGATTTTTACATCAACTTGTCGACATTACCTTGTGGCAATTTGACTATAATTGTCCTAGTTTATAAAAAACCAGTTTAATATTCACAGACATGAAATACCGCAAATTTTGAGCATATTAGTGGTTAAAAAAGGACTGCCACGATCGACCTTATCTGAGCTGAGGTAGGTGGCTGGGTGGGTACAAGTGATATTAGACACCTTAAGATTGACGTTTACGGCAAACGTCAAACCGCTAGCGAAGTTTTTGATTTTACAACTCTATTATAATAACTTTTACACCAATTTTGAAATATGTTAAACAATTATTAAACTTGTGGTGTTTAGCAATGATTTAAGAAAGCAAATGAACTACTAGTCATGTATTCACCAAAACAGTAAATTAAGATTTGGCGTTTGAAGTTTACGTTTGGCGTATAAATTTCATGCTTTAACGACTACAAGCCCTCGTAGCAGTTCAAGTATGAAATTTGTACGCCAAACGTCAACTTCAAACACCAAATCTTAATTTACTGCTTTGTTGAATACATGACTAGTGGTTCATTTGCTTTCTTAAATCATTGCTAAACACCACAAGTTTAATAATTGTTTGATATATTTCAAAATTGATGTAAAAGCTATTATAATAGAGTGGTAAATCAAAAACTTCGCTAGCAGTTTGACGTTTGCCGTAAACGTCAATCTTAAGGTGTCTAATGTCAATTCGACATTACGCGTGATTACGTTTCTATTTTCATGAATTTGGTGTGTACACTATGATACATTTAACCTCGGTTCATATTCAAAGTTCAGATGCCGATGCTCAAAGATTTCGTGATCAAAATCAGTGTGTCACAGCAGCTTTTTGTAGCGTATTTTACAAATTGAAGTCTCAGATGTGCCAACGGTATCGAACTACTATATTATAAAATTTTATTGAAGGGTATTAATAGTAGATGGAAATTATCGAGCGGGAATTTATATACATTTATTAGACCTAACCAGGAACAGCTACGAAAAATGCAACATTTGGTCCTTGGCAGGAATTGAACCTGTGGCTCTCTGATTCCGGTGCAGTGCTCTAACCAACTGAGCGCTGCAGCTAGAATCGCTGCAGCTAGAATCGCAGGGCTGCAGGTTCAATGCCTGCCAGTGACCTAAAGTTGCATTTTGCGCAGTTGTTCCGAGGGACGCCGGAACTGGGGAGCAGGAGGGGCAGCTGCCCCTCTTGCCCTTTACCAGGAGGGGCAAGGGGGGCGAAGGTGGCCTTTTGATTAAATGGAAAATATTTGTTATTAATAGAAAGAATTTGTTCTTCTTATTACAGAACTATATAAACTATATGATATAACAAACTTTTGCTGAAAAACTGTACGAAACTCATTAACTGGCAAGCTGTTACAATGTTACAGTGTTACAGTTGTTTCACGAGTTTTGATCTACCACCAGTAGATCAGAGTTATTTACCCTGATAAGCGACTCAACATCCTCCCTTTTTGATTCAGCCCAAATACCGTCGCTTGCAAGTTGCAACTGGCAACGTAGATAAAAACATTGCCTAAATGTGTGAGAATCTTCAATGTTTGTCAAGAACACTTGACAGGTTTTAATCTGGTCAGCCAATCACGTTTAACCAGCTCCAAGTTGATAACATGATCATCACAAACATTGAAGTTTCTCGGTGAAAACATTGTACTTTGTCATGAGAATAGAGAATGTTTTATTTACGACTGTTAATTCATCCTTAATAATAGTTGCAAGCGACGGTATTGAAGCGAATCGTTTGTTTGTCTCATAGATATCTTATATACACTAGATAGTGCATCTAATTATTCTGAAATCCAAAAATTGAAGCGGCGTGATTGCAGTCTCAGGTCGTTCCCATGAAATTAGAAGATTCGTATGTTTTCTATTTCTTAAACAGGGAACTTAAACATTAAGTTAACCCTATTCCAAATTCGTTTTTAAAGTATTCAAATGATGAAAATTATTGTTGTTTTTAAGCGTTTATTAGCAAGTGGGAACGACCAACATGGCCGCCACCTATTCAAATGGGGGTAACCGCTGGAATATTGTTGGCTTCAATTTTACTAAACGAGATGCGCTATCTAGTGTATATAAGATATCTATGGTTTGTCTAGTATAAATTCACGGGACAGGTAGTCCAGGAACAACGTCTCTGTGTCAGGGATAGATCTACATTCAAAAGCATCGAGATATAAAAGTCGATCTCCCTCAGCAAGAATCTGATCTACGTTTAATTTAGATGCGGTCCACTGTTGGATCGGCAAAGTCTGAGCAAATAATAACGCTGAAAAACTCATAAAAGAACATGCGTGAAATGTCACTATAAAACCGTTCGCTGCCTTGATGAATGCTTCCAGCAACAAATAAATTTAAATTTGACATGATTTCAATAAAAAAACTTACCTAGTTCTTGCCTTCTAGCTACAACTTTTCGAACGTAAACACATGCAACATTAATATGACTAATCATCACTAATGATGAAACCGCTGCACATACATACGCGTGCCAGGGCCGCCCAGAGGTTGGCGGGGGCCCGGGGCAAATTTTCTTTTTACGGTCCCCTATGCAAAAAAAATTTCCTGGAAAAATTTTTTTCCGGAGAACAACCTCCCCCCCCCCTGTCGCAAAAAATTTTCGGTCAGTGTACCGAAATAGGCGGCTGCTCGCCGGCGCTCGCAGCAATAAAATAGATCGATTTATTTCGCTCTCAATCACGCCTCAGGGCTGTCGAACAAATCACATTTCACGACACTAAAATCAAGCATTTCACACTAACAAATATTGACCATTCACGGCTCACGAAAATACCCTTTCTCTCCCTCAATCATGAGTCATAACAGAAAGTCATAGCACTGCCACATGATACAAGTTTTTATGTTATGATTGTTGTATTTATGCTCTAATTGTGATATTTGTTACTTTAATACTGATTTTTGAAATTTCTCTAGCTTCATTCTTCAGGGCCTTTTTTAAGGAATTTCCTGGGGGGGGGATTTTTGAAAAGAGACCTTATTTCCTGCATTCTGAGCATCAAATTTGCTCCAAAATTTAAGCTAACTATACTTGTATTTGAAATAAAAGAAGGAAAAAATGCACAAAAAATCAAATAATTATTAACAATAATTTATCATTACTTA